ATGCTCATGATGCTGGGTGTTTGGGCTGGCGGTTAGGGAACAGGGTTCCAGCTGATGCTCATGATGCTGGGTGTTTGTGCTGGCGGAAGAGTTTCTGTTTGTGCTGGCTGGTCAGGAAAAGAGTTTTCGGCTCATGCTCATGATGCTGGGTGTTTGTTCTGGTGGCTAGGGAACAGAGTTTCCAGCTGATGCTCATGCCGCTGGGCGTTTGTGCTGTCGGCTAGGGAGGAGAGAGTTTTCAGCAGATGCTCATGATGCTGGGTGTTCGTGCTGGCTGCTAGGGAAAGAGTTTGCATCTGATGCTGATGATGCTGGGTTTGTGCTGACGGCTAGGGAACAGAGTTTCAGCTTATGCTCATGATGTTGGGATTTGTTCTGGTGTTTAGGGGGAAGAGTTGCGCTTGTGCTGGCGGCAATGCCGCATTTGTTCTGGCAGCCAGGGAAAAGAGTTTCCAGGTGATGCTCATGATGCTGGGTTTGTGCTGGCGGCTGAGGCCAGCCGACTCTCCTGATGGTGGGTTTGTGCCGGCGGCTACTCCCGAGAAGTTTTAACCTGATGTCCATGATGCTTGCTTGGTTTCAGAGGCCACGGAAAAGACTTTGCAGCTGGCTCATGATGCTGGCTTTGTTCCGGGGGTCTTAGGACAGGAGCGTCGCTGGTTCGGGTCTGGCGGACGGGGAAAGAGCACTGAATTTGTTTCCAATTGGGAGCGTGGCGAAGATGGGGTCTATGATCAGCAACGAAACCATGGGCGTGTTTCTGCTCTATTTATTCTGACCTGTCCGAAGCAATTTTGAACCACATGGACGGCTTTCTTGTACAATGTATCGTGTGACCATCATGTGTATCGTGCACCTCCGACTCGTTCGAAATGTTGGAGATTGCTGTCAGCATGGCAGGTGGTGTCGAAAGCTCTCGACTCCGTTCCTTTGCTGCACGGCCTGCGAATCATTTACCAAAATTGTCCCGGTGCATAACTTACTTTGTAGGCATTGCGCCCCCGGAGGAGTGCCAGAACAGGATTTCAGGGTGGAAGGTTTGGGATTAAGAGACATAGTCCGCTTCAAGACTTTCTTGTGCATAATTAAGCAATTAAGTCGCGCATACCGTCACATTATGCATGATTCGTGCTGTAATGCCAATCAGTCATGCTGGCAGTCGTGCAATCGTGTGTTTGCTTTTTTCCACGTTTCCGCTGTGCTTTGGGGCAGGTTCTCTGGATGGCAAGTATTACCTCCGCTGAAAGCTGAATCTCGCACACCCATGCATGGTCTTGTTCTGGGTTGGCCCATGGGTAGACCAAAACGGAAACTTGCTGCTCGATAAGAACTGTCAACCAATCCTGTCCTCTCAGAGCCATGTAAGACTTCCCCAAGATTGCCTACGCGTATCCATGTCTCTCTACTCTTTCATACTAGCACGGCCTCACTACGATGCGACCTGGTCAGGTAATCAAGGCGGACCCATACGCTCTGGAGTTCGTGGATCCATCCGATGGAGGACATGATGCCAAGGCGCGAAAACTGTACGAAGTGTAGCTGAGGACACATGTTTCCAATTCACATCGGCCGTTTGGAGCTCTTAGTGGGATGAGGTGTTCTCCACACGCCTGTACACGCAAAAACTGCTCATCTGCCGCAGGTTCCAGAGTGTGACGACTACAGCAGAGCAGCATGGAAGCTGGTCTGCAATAATTCGTGTTTAGGTCAAAGGCTTCTCGGTCATGCGGAAGCCCGCTCCGATCCGGTACTTGCATGTATCCTCGGCCATGTTCAGCGGTAAAGATGGAAGAGTTACTGTTGATGGAGGAAATCGTGTACCACCTTAAGTGCCTAAAGTCCTAGGAACTACAGTAGTTTAGGGCCCCTAGGTGGTGCAACCTTTCATCCGTCAACAGTAGGTCCTTCAGGCTGCCTTTCACTTAACTTTTTGGCATCCAGCTACTCGCAGACGTGTCTGTCCAAAGGACGCCGGCGCATTTTTTCAGAGGCATTTGGCGTAAAGTGGACTGGACTGATCCTTTCATGCTGGACAGAACCTACTTGTACGTTTGTCTGCGAATGTCATGCACTGCATTCGTCCGTTCTGCATGACGTGACCTATTTGTAGCAACTTCTCTGAAGGCATGGCACTTATGCGTGGACTGATGATGCCTTCATCGCGAACCGGCAGGCTCCTGGCGCAGAGAGAGGGTTACCTGGTCTTGGGTTTGTCGATGGAGCTTCTCCTGCGGGCAACATTTTATAGTGGAGGAAAGTACTGCGCACATGACACAATTTCAGTAAGCTTTGCTTCAAACCTGCACACCTTCTTGACTAAACTTCATGTGTTGCTGTGGAACTTCATGTGTTGCTGTGGAGGCCAAGTTTGGCAGTGCGACGTGGTGCAAAGAACCGTTGTCCATCTACGAGGCCAGTCAACAGATCACGCATGTCAGTTTCTATATCTATGTGTGTGTATATATATAGACACACCGAATTTTGGATCCCGATTAGTATGGGAGGCCCCCTCCCGTTCCCCCCAAACATAATGGGAGATCCTCCCGCTTCGGCCTCTTCTGATTTCCTTGGGAACGGCTTGAAAGCTCGGCCGTTATGTTTAAAGGCCTGGCCTCTAAAGCCTTTTACACGCAATTACAATCTCATTAGAGTCGTTGAAAATCTGGTTAAGATCAGCTGAGATCAATTAAGATCAAATGGATACCTATCTGTTGAAATCTAATCAAGCATCAGTTTAAACTACTTAAGATCTAACCATCAAGGACTAGACTTCAATGAACATCGTTGAGAAATCGAATTAACCACAAATTTGATACATTAGCATGGCCTCACCATTAACCAGTCAAATATCCTTTACATAATTGAGCCCCCCCAAACCTTGCATGTGATTGAGGATCAGGAGACCTGCTGGACTACCCCCTATTTGATTGCCTAGCCTCTTCCAAAAGGCGGTGTTTAATCTGTAGTTTCCTCAGACCTAGAATAAAGATTGCATTCTGAATACTCCCCTAGGGTTATAGTAGCATAAGAATTATAAATATTTCCTAAGGACAGTACAGTAATAGGAAATCGACGATTTTTTGGTGGCATCAGACTCCAGGTTCCAAAGGTAATCGTGCCTGCCCTTCATTAATATCTGAAGGTCTGGCTTCAAGAGCCAACAGCATTCTGGCTTCAGAACTCAATCAGCAGAAAAAACTTGACTGGCACCGTCCGAATCGAATAGGGGTCCAACATACTTTTCTTAACACTTTACTTTGTTACAACGCCCCGCGCTAATCAGGATTCAACCTTTCAATCCACATTTCTGCCTCTTGAGGATATTGTACTTAGTGTTGTCACAAGTTGTCATATCATAAGTGTCGTCTCAAATTTTCTAGTGTGTTTCTAAGCACCTTCCCATGCAAACGCTGCACAGCTTGTGGTGCATCTGGAGTTTCGTTCCTGCGTGTCCTTCTGTTTGAGTATTTATGCATCGTCATGGCGGTGTAGAGGCTCAGGGCTGGAGCTTTGCTTCTGTTGGGAAAGGTGCACTTGGGAAGTTTCACTTCAAGTTCGACAAGTTCAAGCTACCGAGACCTGGCGGAGCCCTTGGCAAAGCACGTGCTGGACAGCCTGCAGTCCAGACAGCCATGGAGCCAAATGCCCCGAGTTACACAAGTGGGTACAGTAGTCGCCAGATGATTTTCAGTTCTACATGGAAAACAAAGCATTGATATGCTCTGTTTTCGCAATTGTGCAGCCGGTGGCAGACCAACCTTTAGTCTTTTGGCCTGGCATCTACGTATCAGGGAGAAAAGCAGAAGAGCAACAAACATGCTGCATGCACCACAGCCGCCGCGATTCGATTCATAGTTATTCGTGTTGCAAGGATAACGTGCACCGTACGTAAAAACTATACAACATTGTTACTTTTCCAGGTTTATGATTGCTGTGACATGTAATCTTGGTCTTCGCCGCCACCACAACTACCACCACCACGATGCCAGTTGATAATGACTTGGCGAGGACATGGGCTTCACCGCCGTAGAGTTCCTTCCGCTCTCACAGCACCAGTGCAGCATTTGGTGGTAGTGGCACAAAATCCCTGGCTTTGAGGATCTTAACCTCCTTCCCTGATCCGCCCAGCAGAGACCGAATGGCTCTTCTTCGAGAATGTCCTGCAGTTTGCTCTCCAAGTTTGTGGTTGTTGTGGTCCAAGGGCATGGAGGTTTAGAAATGTCGGTGGCTCGCTAGAAACGGTTGGGAGTGTCGGGGATTCGGGCTGTGCCAGGGCTTGCAAGAGTTTTCGCAATTGCTGACATGCCACGTTTTCTATTTGTTTGCTGCTGCAGTATGGCTTTTCAGCTTGATCTAAGTAATTACGCAGTCTTCCGAACTTGTTTCTAGCAGTCTAGCAGTTGCAAAGTTTCAGGGGTAGGCTGATTGCTGATGTGCCCTGTCTTTGATGTCTTTTGCAAGTCTGACTGACGGGGCTGTAACCGAAGATTTCAGGCCATGCATGCACGCCAATGCAGGCAAATTGTAGTAAGGGATTCCTATGCATCTTCGTGTGCATGTGTTTTTTGTATGAAGTGGGCACTAAAGAGATGGACAGAAGACCTTGGAGCCGAAAATCTGGAAAGCCAGAGACAAGGTATCCTTGCTACGAGTCTTGGGGATACCAATGTGCAGCGGGGCTCTTCGCTGTGGACAGGTGCCACTTGGGGCCTCTCCTGGCAAAAATTGCACGGGCTTTGACATGAAATAGTTGGGAGCTTTCTGGTGATCATGTTCAGGACTTATGAGGCAAGATTGCTCCATAGAACTGTGTGCTAAGCGCAGGCGAATGGGAACTCCAGACGATTTCCGCTTCCTAGCAACTGGGACTTCAGCAGGCCTGCCATATCAGGTGATTGCGGGATGAAACTTGCTGCTCATAGTGGCTGCGATCAGTAAACTGAAGCATCCAAGTTTCCAATGGCAATCTGTTACAGAATCCTATTGTAGTGCGCCCACGTTTGATTACATTCCCAGGTCCTAGGTCCCCCAAGAGTGCGCTTCTTCGAGAGGATCTCCCATATCACGATCATGCAGCTAAGGTTGACACACTGCATCGCTACGGGATCGCAGTTTTCATGGATTTTGTCGGGGCGCACTTCGCCAAGGCACCTGGGCCTTGCACTGCATGATGAACTTAGCAGTGCCTGGTGATTACAAGGGCATTATGGGGATTATGGGGGCTCCCGCACTTCTTTTTATCTAGGGAAGTTAGGGCTTCTGTGGCGCAGCTGTCTTCGAAGAGTTCTTCTCGCTGTAAAACTGTTTCTGTTCATTGTAGGAGCCTCATGGCGTCTGCTGCCCCGTCTTCTCCGGAGCTTGCTTTGAAGTCCTGCTCCGAGCTGAAGACACCTCTGGTGTCCTTGGACGAGACTGCCATGCTCCGCTTCTTGGAGTCTGAGGAGGCGCCCTTTCCTGGCCTCCTTGACTTCCACATTGGCTCGACAAACTGCTTTCCAGAGTTGACGTTTGAGTCACCCCTAGAAGAAGCTGGCTTCATTGTGCTTGTCCATGGTTTGGACTTTGGAAGCGGTTTCCGGCACATCCTCCATCAGAGGAGAGATGGCCAAGGCGCATGGCTTACTATTCGAGGAGGACTTGTTGCTTTGGGGAAGGCTTTTGGAACCACTGTTCGGGCAAGCTGGCTTCATGAGATTGCTGTCGAGCAAGTGAAGCAGCTTTTTGACATCGACTTCTCTGACTTGCAGCTTTTAGCCGAGCAAATTCACGGCGTGATAAAGGAGTATGCAGACGTCCTCCATAGCACGCCGCATGCTACACTTGGTCACTGGACGGCTGCTAACTGCCAGCATGGGGCATGTCAATTTGTTGCCCAACTTGTGGCGACATTTCCATTCACGTTCCGTGACTCATATGTGCTAAAACGAGAAGACCTGCCACTGAAATTTGTCCATGACGTAAGTGCTGTACCCTCCGAGCAGTATGCTTTGCTTGCAAAGAAAGCTCAGCTGGTTGCATCCGAGATTCACATGCGCTTTAGACATGACAGCACGCTTGATCCTGCAACTCAGAAGCTGCTAGTTTTCGACGACTACGCGAAGCTGAGCGGATTCATCGACAACGTGGTTGTCGCCGTGCTCCGGAAACTGGGGGTTCTGGTTTGCACTTCCGAGCTCAACTCGCAGATTGATGCTGGCGAAACTCTCCCTTCAGGCTCATGGGAAGAGGTGTCTCTTCGAGCGAAGGGCCTTGTAGCCATCCAGGAGCTCGTGCAGCGCTACAACGACACACATGCCTTGGGGGAAAAGGCGAGGAAGCTCACTGCCGGACAACTGTGTAACTACATGTGGGGCGGACTGGGCAAGCAGCCAGCGTTTCGCGCGTTTCCTCGACACTATACACCAACCACACTGTTTTATTGAGGTGGCCTTCGGACGATATCGCGTGTGAAACCTTTTGACGGATGGAGGAAAGCCAGTACAAAGCCGTGCAGGCAATTGCCATTGTCACTTCCAGCTTCCTGCCTGATGACATGATTCAGCTGGGAGCAACGGATGCCAGCAGTCATCGTCTCAACGAAAGCTAGGGACAGTCAGAAAAAGGTGGCAGTCTTGAAGAATGACAACTGAAGGGTAGATGATAGTAACAAAGTACACAAACACTCCTGATTTGCCTGCAGCCCGCTGCAGACAAAACAAGGGGTCGATCGATTCCTGCCCTGCTTTCCAGCGGCCAGCGAGGGTAAGTGCGTCAAATCTCTGCAAGTCATAGTGACCTCACCTGCCCTCAGGAAACTGGCGAGTTAAGCAAAATAAAGCTCTTACAAGTTTGCTTGAATTTCAGTCTTCGTCAAATGCTTGAGCGGTTTGTAGTGTACCTGTTCCAAACTATGTGTGCTGCATGAGTGGCTGTACGCATTGTTTCGGACTGGAGCTGAAGCGCTCTTGTAGCAATGAGCACTGCAAAGTTTCGCAAGCAGCATCGAACAGTCAGAAAGCAGAGCAAGCCAATAGCAACGACTCCCAGGGCCAGCAGTGACTCGATGCCTCGGTTTCCTGGCTGTCTACCCCAAAAATCTCTGAGGCTACAAGTATGGACAGTCTTTCGACACGACCGACGGGCGTAAAGACGCTACTGGCCCAACGCGCAATATGGAAAGCCAATTTGATCTTGTAGACGACCCATCACTGTCAGGCTTAAGGCACCGAATCCCTCAGCCCCGAAGAGCCTCCACATCACTCACAACCAAGGTTTATCTGCCAATTCAGTAAAGTTCTGCTGGGGTCGAGGGAAAAAAAGCGGGGCAAGCCAGTCACACGCCAGCTATGAGACCAGGGAACTTCCGAAGTATGCAGGTTTTTTGTAGATGATTCTACGTAGCAGGGGCCCCTATACCTGGGATGCTAGCTATGGGTGTTTTCGTATCAATATCCTTGACACTTGGAACAGTCATCTAGGCAGATTCCCATGTGAAAGGACGACTGGGGCCTGATAGAATACTCCGGCGCGCCGCAGTACGAGTACGAAGGAAAGCTGGGGAAGATTCCCGGGCAACTCGTCTAGCATTATCTGGACCCCCAAAGGGTTGTATAGGGTTATATTATGGGAATATGTGAAAGGCGTGGTGATGAATTGCCTGTTGGCATGGTAAATTGGTTTAGGCCATCGTTGTAACTACTTTTCAGGCCAAAGCACTGAAGAGTCTTCGGCAATTACACCCCCACAACAGAAGGCCGGAAGAGGTTCAGGTGTGCTTGATCTACTCTTCAGATAAGACCAATATTGCAAGGATTCTCAAAACAACAATCAGAGGTAGCCCCTGATCCTAAGACTATCCTGCATAGGTTGTTTTTGTTGCGTTTTGTGAGCCTATCTGTTCACGAGCCGATGAGGTGGGGAACAGCCCGATACAATTACGCGAAGCCCGAGGTCCAGGCAAGAGAATGACAGTAATAGGCCCATGGTGCGGGGTCCTGGATGGGAGTCCAATGAATTACAATGTCTGCAGCTTGAGACTGCTGCTTGAGTACCCGGACCTAGGCTTTTGTCTTGTGCTCTTGAAACTGGCCGAAAGCTTCTGGGACATTTTAAAGGAGGAGTCATGCACAGGTGGAGGTTTGCACTGGATTCGCCCGTGTGGCGCCGGGCAGGAGATTCAGTGATCTTGCAGGATTTGCCCCTTGCGGCAGGCTTACCTCCTGGGTGCCGCTCATCATTGGATCGAGCACTTCCACATCGATGGCCTCCGGGTGGATGCCGTCGCTGCTGCTTGACTGCAACATATACGCTACTGTGCTGCAGGGGAGTGGGGGATTGAATATGTGTTTGGCCGTATTATACGTTCAGTATGACCAGCATGCATGCAGGGATCCACTGCTCCACTCCACCAGTTCCAGCAAGTTGAGACTTGCGAGACTTTTTGGGGGGATGCGTCGAAGTTTTGAAGCTGCAGAGCACGGCAACTGCTGAAGCAGCTTGGAGATTTCTTGCCACACTCAGGCCATGATTTACCGCAACTTCGGCCGGGAGGAAGATGGGGATGCGATCATGGCCGGCAAGGCCGGAAGCTCCTAACACAGTGGGGAAAAAACGACTACATTATACGCCCCTTCAAAAGGAGGACCCTGCCCATGGCTAAGATTCCTACTCTGAACCTGTGGAGTCTCCCAGGGCCAGCTGAATGAGGACGGCATTGCTTTGCTCCGAAGGCTGTGTGCTGAGGCCCTGGCTTCGGGATTTAGAGTAAAGGATTTCAGTTTTGGCCTTGCACTTGCATCCTTCTAATTTGTGAAGGTGTCATCTCCAAGCTAGAACAGCAACTGCAATCTGGTGTCGACTGTTGTGACTTGCGATTGTAGTAGCATATGCTTCTGGTTCCACGGCCGATGACCCCTTCGGCCTGACGAAACGGTTCCTCTCAAGCAACAGCTGACTCGAAGGCTCCCATGCCCTCTCTGATTCAATGGCTTTCCTTACATTGTTTGTTAGGGACCCAGCACACTTTCAAATAAGCTGATATGGATACCTTCATCAGAAGCAAATACAAATACACCTCCCACTGGCAGTACATGGAGGTGCGCGCGCGGCATCCTGGCGTCATCCTCTCGGCTGAAGAGTCTACGAACTTCAGATGGGTGCCTAGGGATCACTTATGGCATCCTGCAGGGTTTTAGGATTCACTCAGAGGTTCATGACCCTTTAGTTACATAGAGCTTAAGGTGGGAAACACGTGGTATTCCATTTGTAGTTAACGCACATTTTCAGTTTATTCCATATACCATGTAGGGGCGTGTGCAGTCATCCGCACGGCTTCAAGAGCGGAGGAAAGATTTTGCTGGCTAGATGGTAAATCATTCGGCATCAGAACAAGCTTATGCAGTCATACCCGGCGGCCACTTGTGGTCGCTAGTGTGGAGTAGGCTAGTGTCTCATCATCCTAGCCGATCTGTCAACTTTGCCGCCCAAACCAAACCGGCATCAACGCATACACCCTGACTTCATATAATGTAACAGCTGTCCAGACCATGAAGAGCATTTGATCTTAGCTGGAGCATGTGTTGTGCCTCTCTTTGTCGTTGGTATTTGTCTGTCAACTCAGTCAGGTGACTGATCGCCCTGCTGAAAACGGCACTGAGAGACAGCGAGCATCATGGCTTGCAATGGATGGTAGGCTGCTGGGAGCGCATGACCTTTCAGGCCGACTGTAACAATAGCATGGTTGCTGCGAGGGCTTTACAGAAATGCTTTTTCAATTTGCAAGCCCCAGGGAGAGCTGCGAGACCTGGGGTTCCACCTGAAGTGGAACATGGGCTTCACGTATGATGCTGTCTCGTACTTCGGTGCGAAACCGAAAGAGCGACATCAGCTGGACACCTTTGGGTGGAAGAGACTGGCATGGAGTCTGGGTCATGATTTGGTAACACATTATTCTCGGGTACAGAATTCCACAAGTTTTAGAAGCAGACCTTGGCAGTTGCTTTATTTTTGGTGGTTTTCCACTCTTCAGGTATTTGGCATATGCGTTCAATGAGAGATGGATCCTCCCCTTCTCTCACGACAACATGCAGCCGAAAAGCTTGCTAGACCAGATGGCAGCCGACAAAGAAATGGGCATCGAGGGGCAGTTTGCGCAGCTCCGCCTGCTGTTCTTGTGCCTTGACAAGCACAACTTGCACAGGTCCATACAGTGTGGCGACGTAGCTGTGGGAAGGCTGCAAGGGAATGATTCTACACAGTCTTTCTCCAGTGGCTGGCCCACTAAGCTGCTGTCATGCCTATGTTCGAGGTACACGGTTTGCATGCCTGGACGGCCTTTGATGTTCATGGGCTCAGAGATAGGTGCCTTGGCGGACATGATGAGTTTGACATTTTGCCTCAGAGACGGGAAGGGCCACTCCCTTTATCCTTTGCCCTCTTTTCACTCATATTCCGGCATGCAATTGCCCCTCCTTTCAATCTCCTGGGCTGGCCAACAGTGTCGACTGAGATTGTTCAAGCTAGCGGTATAGGTCATTCAGTGCCACCCGATATCAACACCAGAGATCCCTACAAAGCGACCGACCTTCTCAAGAACCCCACTAGGCAGCCCATGAAAACAGTCTGAACAGTAGCTGCATGGCCAAATCTTGCAAATGTGCGTGAACACTTTTTTAGCCCAAATCGGTACACATTTCGTCAAAAGACAGACTCTTGTGGGAGGCCATTACTCAAACCTCAAAGGCGAAGATTGGTCATTGTCCAGCCCGATCGATTGGGAGATTGCCGCCAGGGACCCCAACAAACAGCAGCTGCTGGGCCGACTTCTCTTACAGTGGTGTGGGGTTTGTTTCTGTTGTGGTTGAGTCCTACTTGCGGGCTTAGAGCACAGCTCTGGTTTCCCCCTCGTCACCCTAGTGCTGGCTTGCATGGACCTTTTAAGTTCCCTGCCAACCATAACCGTGTGAGGTTGCGAAGCTGGGTGGCAAAGCTGATGAAGCTGCTCAGACCAAGAGTGCAGGGCATGCGCCCGTTGCGACTATGATCCCAATTCCAAGAAAGTTAGCTTCGAGATTTCCTATTTGCTTTGTTAAGTACACCAAACACCTGTGAGCTCAGCTTTGCCAAACTTTGCTTGCATGTCTTCTACGTGTAGATGCCAGGAAGTTTACAAACAAGCGGGTCTCAAGCGAATCTTTGCAGGCTATATCGCCAGCTGAAGTGTCTTCATCGTCAGGAGGACCTGCTAAGCAAAAGTTTCGACCTTGCATGCTGGCCAGTCTCCATGTCAGATTTGGCAACAGGGTCCCCTCATGCGGAAACAGAGAGATTTGGAAGAAAAAAGTTGTCCAGTCGCTGATTTAAAGCAGATTTGCGCCAGGCATCAGCTGCATCCACGTGAAGAAACATCATGGGAGATTTGTGAGAGTATGGCGGTTCGCTTGGGTAGACTTGGCACCATCTAGGCGCCGTATGACAACTTGGAGCCCAGACGGGCTGTAAGTTTCAAAGCCTCTTTGACAACCTCCATGTCCTTCCCAGCATGTGCCAAGACTAGGCTCCTTCTGCGCACCCTGAAGTTGTGGAGTCCTGACTAGGCGAGGGGTATTCTCCAGCGCCAGAAGAGCATGATTTTGGCAATCCCTCCATATCTCATACGGTCCCTGCTTCCGCATTCTCTGCCTCACTTGTCATTGATTCTCACTGCTATGGCCGCTGCTTCACTGCGATCCTTGTTGCTGGGCGTCCAGCTTGCGAGGACCGTGCAGATGGCTTTCACTGGCTCGACACTTTGGGATGCAAGTCAGGCAGTCCTGGAGGCTATGGGCGTTTTACAGTCACTGTTCTCTTAGGGTACATCAAAACAGTGGGCTTTCACGGTTTTTGCTGGGTGTTCGACTCAGGCTTCCTGACCTGCTCAGGATTGTTAGGGTCAGGGCACCCTGGCATACTATTGGAAGGAATCGTGATACCAGGCCTTGGATGCTATGTGCTTGGTTCTTGCTAGTCATATTCAGTTTGTATACGGTCTACAGTAGCTCTTTTCGTCATCTTAGGACAAGGATGCCAGCAGCCGGTGCGTCTATGCCTGGAAGCGTTTGGCCAAAGATGAGCCAGAGGCATTTCTTCAAAGGAAAGATCATCATAGCTGGGATCGGCAGCTAACCTCCACCTGCTTCCTTGCTGCACTGGCCTCCTTCAAGGGCCTCAGCTGCCAAAACATCGGGTACCATTCCTACTGCCGACTTGTTGGCACACAGCGGTTGTCATCTTGTGGGTGATCTGCTGGGCCCTTCAAAATGAGGCTTATCATTCGACTCTAACTATAAGACCATTGACAGTCCCGCGTTCCGCACTGGAGTGCAAGGCTAATTTTCTGCCGCTTATGTAGGCTGTTTTATGCATCGCTAAGTCGGCTCTAGCACAGCAGCCCTGAACTGTGACTGGAATGTAGCCGTAGACCTTAAAAAGCCGCCCCTCCTGGGCGGAGCAGAATGCCTGCTGCCAGGCCATCATTGTCATCAATGCCTCCATGTCCCACATCAGTTCATACTACATCAACTCTGGAGACACTTCTGGAGCTTGGAAGTGCATGGCAGCGCCTAGCTTCAAGCAAGTTGTTTTGGTTTGCAGCCTCTGCTTCCAGCTTACAGGACGCATACTCAGATGTTCTGCATTTCGATGCTTTGTTCTTGCCTGTCCTCAATTTTATTCGTGACGCTTTGGTCCATGGAAGTGCCAACACGAGCGCACAACGGAAAAGCAAACATCGCAATGCCCGAGTTTCACCAGGCCTTGCTGCTATGCTTGGCGGCAACAGTTCTTGGACAAACGATATTTTCCTCACGCTAGCTAGATTTCCTTTTGTTGCATAGCTTTACGCAAGTGGCCGATGTTTTCTCTTTGGGCTGCGTTGGACGTTTCTTGCTGTCCTACCAGTTTGGCCGTTTTGGTTCATAATATCTCGGTGTTGATGATCCATTTATATTTGTGCTTGTATGCATCTAGCTGTATATTGGCACGTCCAGGCAACATCCATCGGCGATTGCGTCACAACGCCTCGCTCAGCGCGGGTTGTGCTGGGCCGCTCGAAGTTTGCCACGGAGCGATTGTTATTGTTGCCTGTGCTAGCCGGTAGCTGTTGGTCATTGCAGCCTCCTCTGCGATTAAGAAAGATTAGGCTTTGATTGAGAGCCTAAAGCGCACATTGGTTGAAGATCGTTCAAATCCAGGGTCAAAGCTAAAAGCTGAGTAGGATCCTTCTTGCAGAGATCCATGACTTTGAGAGCGTTTGCTGCGTCAAAACACTGATTAAAACATGCTTCGGTCCTTTATTTTGCCCATTTTCTGAAAGCCGGAAGGAGTTGCCACCCATGGCTGCGCAGATCTGGGTACCCTGCGAGCCCGAGTTCCCTGGATGTCTTCAGTTTCAAGTGGCCGGGGCTGAACATGTTGAAGGAATCTACATGTTGGGTGAAAACCTGTTACGGGCCCTGCGTTTCGCAATGGTGTTTCCTGATTCTTGCGCTGCTATTGTGCAAAACTCCAAATTGGGGCTTCTGTTCCTAGTTTTAGCATTGCAAGAACCTGCCCTTGCATTCGAATTGTGCTGAGGCAGGAGGCCGGAACAGATGCAGTCCTATACTTCGATGTCCTTCACAAGGCACACTATGCAGAGCTGCTTGAACGTTAGTCATGTGAAGAACAGATGGAGATCACTCGCCAACTGATCCGGATGTTGGCTGGAATGATGCGTGTCCATCATAGTCAGCATGTGATCCACGCTTCCTGTGTTTGGTGTCGGCATGCATTGTTGTAATATGGGCAAGGTTCTCAGATTGATACCTTGACACTTTGACGTTACAATTCTCGAGTGCCTGCTTGAGATCTTCCAACTTTCTGTAGTTTTAGAGGACTCGTTGGTTCCGAGATCAAAAGGAGGCTTATCCAATTCCTGACTTCCGCGCCAAAACTCCCAACCGTGAGATCACGCATAGTCTGAGCCATATGACTCAACGCGTCCAGGACACCCATCCTGGGGATGACTTGCCACTCGGCGGCCACAATCTACTGGTATTATGGTGGAATGCCCCAGTTAGGCTGTAGAGAATAATAATGTAGTAAAGTAAGAAGAACATAGTTAGTAACTTACGTGGTACTGTCTGGTACAGGCTTTGGCGTATGAATCTGGCCTTACGTTGGAACAGTCCCAAGGATCCGGCATCCAGTTTTTTCTGTCTACCTTTCTTTTACAACGATAGCAAAGGAGAACTTCCGACATAAAGCTGTCCAAAGACATGTGCAACCCATGGCCTGACATTCGGTACAAACACTTCTTGCATCAGGATTGGAAGTGTTGTCTGTTGTGCTTCTTGCGTTTGCATGGCCTGGTACTTCCCAACCAAGAAGCATAGATCGAAATCTTAGGCGAATCGTTGGCAACTGTCCTGAGCTCGGGCTTCTGAGCTGCATCCAGACTCTTCACTACCTAAAATCACGTTTCACGATGGTAATGCCCGACCCTCCCCCTAATAGCTGCTGGCACGGCCACTGGAGTGTCGAACTTTTCAGCGCAGACTTTGCATCGAGCTTCGGTCTTGGGTTCATTGAATAACTCAAGCTCAAGTCTTGACAGGGGATATTTGCATATCCCCATGGTCCCACTGAATAGAGGAAGAGATGTTAATGGGCCTGGGGGCATATCGAAATTGGTCATAATTGGTTTTGCTTTTTCCTTTGCAGGATTCTGGAAGAAAGCCTTCCATGTTTCCCCTTGCTGCAGGAACTGGTCTGTGTCGGAGGGCGTGGTGATGGAGACGAATGAAGAGTCCTTTCCACTTTGGCCACTGTGCGAACAACACGTAGATCAAATGTTGGAATGTATGTATGAGCACGGGCTGAGCATTGTCTTGGGAAAAGAGACTGTCCCCGTGCAACATCTTGAATGCTTGCCTAAGTGTCCAATTATTTTGCCTTCGCAGCATTTACCATCATTTTGGAGCTGTCTCCCAAGAAGTCAGCTGACATACCTGGAGCAGTTTGGGGTTTAGATAAGTAGACAGTGGGGCGCACGTGGCAGCTAGGGCGAAAAACTGCGAGGTGTCATTAGGTCGTCAGGCGTCCATTGGACATGTCCTCTCCAGATTTGATACTCGACCATTGTACAGTCTTTGCTGCAACCAAAATCTAGATCGGCGTGAGATCTTAACTGGCAGATTCGCACTGTCGGTGCTGTGAGCGTCACCTGAGGTACACGTTGGTGAGAATCCCCTCAGATGTCAAGAAGCTGGAGTTCAAACTGGTTGCAGCAGGGGACTAAGTTCATCAGCCGGAAGCTCGCCAAACCTGAGCCCCCCCCTGTAAAATACTAAAAGGGGACCCCCCGCAACCTTCCTATAACCTCCAGGTACTGCTAGGGTACCTGCATGTTGAGAAGCTCCCAGCGACCAATCTCTGACAGGGCTTGGAGAATAGAAAAGCAACGCTCCTGACGCTTACTATGCATCCTTCTTGTCGTCGAGCTGTAGTCATCTTATGGTCGATGTCGTTAGTTCTTTTGACCTTTCTGCCTAAGCGTCACCACCCCTCCACTCTCTACAGGGTCGGGCGTTGACAGGTCTCCTCTTCCGGCGAGGAAATGTGGGAACCGCTGTACTTCAACCGCGGCCTGGCGTTCAATGAGCCCAGATCACCAGTATACCCTTGATAGCAACCGAAACGGCTGTGAGGCAACACAAGATATGTGCAGTGCTCTCGGACATGCTAGAGTTCACGCTAGGATGTGTGGAGCTTGTAGAGGCGCCAGTCTCTCAAGATGTGAGGAGATACCCTACTGCTGCTTGAGCTTGCTTTGGTAACTTCGTCCTATTGGTCAGCTAGGATGGGCAGTTGCATCTTGCATGAACGAAATTTGGGGAGCCAGGGCTCCTCAAGAACATGCAATATAGGTACAATATATTACGAAATCAAGTGACGCTGCAGCTTTCATCCTTTGACATGTCCAGGCAGCATCAGCATCATTCCGGGATTCGTGGAGCGGGTGGCCTGCGAGTTCGGGCAGGCGTAGCGAGCGTAGCGCGGCTTCCCTTCCAGCCACTTCACGGAAGTGTTTCGGGCTGCTAGGGCTGTGCACGCAGCTTTGACTCCCTTTGGAAGGGGGCATGGCGAGACTTGGGTGTGTTTGAAATGGGGCAGGGACCTTCTCTTTACATGCTCATTACAAGATGTTCAGGGTAATTTCATATGATGGGCCCTGCCTTGAGAAATAATCCAGTGGTGAGCTGACAGGCATGATGCACACGTAATGCCGTGCATGCTTGTTCCAATGCGTGCTGCAGATTTTGTCAAAAGGGCAGTCGTCAGCCACGGCCTCATGACAGAGAGGCAAAACATGGCAGACAAAACGTCGCTGCCTTGAAATAAGTCAGCTTCATCTTGGATTTGTGTTGGCAGAAGCCCGCAGTGTCAAGCGGAGTAGAAAAAGTAGTTGAGACCCACAAGTGCGGAACCAATAACAGACTTGACACTAATGGCCAGCCAGCTGAATCACGTTGCAATGCATGTGCGGATACCTTCTCGCAGTTCCGAGCGGCAAAGGCAGGCAAAGACGCCTGCGCGCGCGAAGGCCAAATAACCCGTTTTTGAACGTACTCGTACTGACGGGCCCGTATGAGTGAACCGCCTGCAGGATGTGAATGTAAGACAGCGATCAGCTCAGCCAGCATTGAATTCATGGCACCTGCCTCTTGCTCTGCAGCCCCAGTCCTTATTAGTCCTTATGCTCCATCATGCTCCATCCCACCATGCTTTACCTCGCCCGCCCCAAATACAAGCGGTCTAACAGCCCAGGGTACCGTGTTACCGAAAGAGAATTGTGGCGGCTCACTTTTCCGGGTTCCCCCCTGGCATGGAAGCGATTGGGCTGCGGCGCAGCTGTCCGGGCTGGGGTAGAATTATAGGACTCTTAGGAGTTGCAATACGGCAGCATACGATAATTGATCTTAGTTGTACAAAGTGTATCCACATTGCACAAGCAGTGAATTGACGAATGTTCATGCAGACTGAAAGAGGCCTGCTAGCATTTCCAGTCGTCCCTCCTGCACGTACCACCTCGGATAGGTCCTTTTTCGTCCTCTCAGCGGAAACAGCTGGCGCAACGCAGCCCACTCGCAACAGGTCCAATGCCTGTGTAGGTCTTCGCGCAGAAGTTCCCGCGTCAAAGGCGCGCATGCATCCAGCATAAACACAGGTGGTCAGCCCCAGATGAGATGCCCTTGTGACAGTCACCGCGCATGCCAGTTCCCTGCATGCGCAAGTAGAATGCAACAGCATTACCACAACTGGAACCAAGTCTACTCTATGAGGTTGTGGCTGGCCAGTATCCATAGTATCTACAGCACTGTCATGATCATCATCTCTGCGATAATTACAGCTGCAAGTAGCTTTAGCTAATGTTCACCAGGAGTTTCCTATAAATTGAGGCTGTTGTGTGTTTAGGCCAGCAAGGAGCCTTGGGCAAGAGGTTGTCATAAAGAAAAAACGTTTGCCGAGCTCTCATCTGACATCAGAGGTCCGACCATCTCTGTTAGAAGCGAACACTCGTGACGCAAAAGTGGGGTGGGGCAGGTCAATCTATATGACAGGCATGATTTGTACAGAGGGAAGGATTTCAGCGGCACTGTAATCATTATGCCTGGCAGCGATAGTCGTGAAGTACAGTCACTGTAGGACTAGTCATCGTCGTTATTGTCATCGTAGTAGATGCGGTTGTCGTCGTCGTAGTAATGTAGTAGTAGTAGTAGTAGTAGTAGTAGTAGCAGCAGTTGTAGTAGTAGTAGTACTAGTACTAGTACTAGTACTAGTACTAGTAGTAGTAGTAGTAGTAGTAGGCGGAGTAGTAGTAATAATAGCAGTAGCAGTTGTTGTAGTAGTAGTAGTAGTAGCAGCAGCAGTAGTAG